ACTGTGCTTCAGGGTCATATGAACCGAATTGTTCATTTGTTTCAGTATCTAAGAACACATAAGATTATCTAAATGGTGTATTGTAACAAAGAATTGTCCAAGTGAGAAGTATAAGGGTGGATGGGTGTAAAAAATCTGCTTATATAATTTATAGGAATTTAAAAATGGGCATTATACATGTATTCGTTAAATTAGTTATTCTAGCATTATCCTTTTGTAAATATGCTAAAGAAGAGGGGACATGTTTGAGTATGTTGTGCCTTTAAAATGTAATGTTTTCAAAAAAGTTATGAATCTGGCTAAATAATGAGTTGACGTTGAACAATATACAATCAATCAATCAATACTAATAAGTTGAGTATTTGAAAGTCATACATTATGAAAGGATATGGCACGAAGCAGGACCATTCTGAAAATTATGGAACGCCAAATTAAGATATATTCAATTATTTGTACCTATCTTCAAATAATTGCACTTTCTTCAAATAATTTTACCTATCTTCAAATGAATTGAAGATAGGTATAATTGAATTAAAGATAGGTACAATTGAATGGAAGATAGGTGTAAATAATTATACCTACCTCTAATTTTATTTTACCTAGGTACAAATGAATTATACATATCTTTAATAAAATTCAATTCAATTAAAGATAGGTTCAGTTGCATTATACCTATCTCTAATTCATTTGAAGATAGGTATAATCTATTTTAAAATAGGTACAACTGATTTGAAGATATATTCAATTTAGATATATCCACAAAGGAATTGAAGATAGGTACAATACAATTATACCTAGGTTCACTTCGTTTTGTGTTGTCGGAAAAGTATGAACGCTCCCTGGGAAACAACATTGAGCTTGGAGGCAAACGCATATAACCTACAAAACAACGACGACAACAAGGATGATAGGAGAAACAAAATGTGCAAAAAGCATCATATTCGTATTAAAATACAAATGTTATATAATATCATGTAGGTATATCTTGTATGGCAGCAAGATGAAGGTTCAAATAAACTTTTGCGCCAGTTGTGACGTATCGGAAATGACATATGATAAAGGGAGTAGTTATTATTGCCAATAGGTACAATTCAATTGAAAATATGTACAATTATTTTAAAATAGGTACAACTATTTGAATATACATTGTATGTTAATTTGCCGTTCCATAGAAAATAAAATGTCAATAGCCTGATACATTTATATGTGTTAAATTAAAAAAAACAGTCAAATTGAGGCATTTCAGGGGTTGTTTCCCTTTAGAAACAGTGTCCACAGCCGTTGCACACTCCAATTTTCAGATTTGTCATGTAAAATATTGAGAAAAAAAAATCACATTTTACAAAATCTTTTTTGGACAAGGTATATGCAAAATATCATCTGAAAAAAAATGTAATTGTAATTATTGTCTACTGAATTTTTTAAAGAAAATACTGAAAAATGCACGTCAGTTCACTTTTTCAAAATTAGCATTTTGGAGATCAAAGGAGAGAACAATTTCTATTCTGTGGATCACTATATTTTTGCAACACAATATTTTTGCGATTTAGCTATCGGGTATTAGAAAAACAAATTTTTGCAAGCTGTTATTTTTTTGTTGAATCCTTGTTACTTATCCGCGGGTAGCATGCATCGATTTTAAAATTGATTATATATTGTTTAACGTCGCTCTCGAGAATTTTTCACTCGTATCTAGTTGGAAAGTATATGCCTATACTCGGCACTCAGGGCCAATTGAGCACGGGACCTTGGTTTATACGGTCTCATTCGTCTCCCCGTCCGACATTGGGATACGAAGCTGCGACGTAAGGATAAACTCCTTACTTTGCGACACATGCTCTAACCACTGCGCTGCGCGGGCGACTTTTGAAATTGAAATGTTAAGTTGAAAGCCACAGCAAATGTTTCGTCTTTCCCTAATAAAGTTTCTAAATTATTTTTGCTGCATCTGAAAACGAAAATAGTTCTGATTATAACAGGACACAATTGTTTCTTCTTTCCTTTAAAAAGTTTTTAAATGAATTCTGCTGCATAGGAATAAGAAAATACTTCTGATTATAACGGGGCGCAATATGCAAGTTCCGAAATTATCTCCCTTGGTGCGCTCTTTCGTTGAGGAGGGGAGTTTCGTTGCCGAATAAACAGACAGGTGGGACAGATGTTTATTATTGGATACATTGCATCATCGATATACTAGTTTATTATAGCTATATGATTGTAAGGATGCATTCTTCAACCCGAGAATAATCAAATTAATGTTAAGGCATCATTTCCTACAGCAAAAATATCGTAACAAAAAAGAAAATATAAGTGGATGTGAGACTTCTCAGACGAGGGGAGAGATATTGACCTCTAATAAATACGGTACATATGCAGCTGATCATTGCACGTCGGCAATCTAAATGACGCATTGATTCTTTTCCTTATTATAACTTTTAAAAACACTAATTTTTTTAAAAAAATGTTTGTACAATAAAGAAAATCAGTTTCTCTTTATCAAAACTTCGACAATCCTTCGTTTTCAAGTATCCTATAATTAAAAAAAAAGATTTATAAATATGCATAGTTGAGCTTGATAAAATCATCAAATGCATCACTGTTTAATATTATTTTCTTCCATAACATTTAATAAATTTCAAAAGCCATAAATATCGTTCATTTATTTATACACGTTTGTATACCGAGAAAACCTGTCCCACCTCCATGCTGAAATAGATACTTTTTGCACCTTTTTCTTAGGAGAGTTGCAATCTCAAAACTCGCGTATTGGCATCCATGGAATTTCCGAAAGATTGTTAGAGGACCTGGTCTGAAAAGAATTTCAGAGACATTATTAATCAGAAACTCAAGTAATTTCGGAGTACTTACCTTAAGTTATAAACATGGATTAATCTAGGTTTTCTACCTTTTCTGAAGAAATTGGGAAAATTGCCCAGTGATCTGAGGCACTCAAGACGCCAAGCGGGTGCAGGGCAAGCCCTTGGGGGGGAGCAATTGAATTTCAGAATTTTTATAACCATTTGGATTGCAAAAAAAAAAGTAAAAACGTATTTCATATCTTCTGAAATATTTTACCCTATTTCCAGTTTTTATACAGGAAAAAAGTATTTGAGTTTTTTTTATTGTAAAGGGTAGCGGGTGCAGGGCAAGCCCTTTCGGGGGGGGGGGGAGGCAATTAAATTTCAGAATTTTTATAACCATTTCGATTGCAAAAAAAAGTAAAAACGTATTTCATATCTTCTGAAATATTTTACCCTATTTCCAGTTTTTATACAGGAAAAAAGTATTTGAGTTTTTTATTATTGTAAAGGGATTTTTACTCATCAAAAGAGGAAAGGAGAAAACCAGGGGAAATTTTCTCTTTGGAAAAATACCATACATAGATAGTAAATATGTCCTGGAATAATAATTGGACTCCATGATAATGCTTTTATCAGAATAATTTGACAAATGGTCAATGAGAACGTAAGCAAATTTGAGAGTTAAAGTAGCTGTCAAGGATTTCAACAAGCGACTTGCATGGTTTTAAATTAATGGGATTGTTTGTGTATAAAGTGTTCAAAAGCCGTAGGTTTGATGTTTTTGATTTTAGTAAAAAAAAAAAAATAATGTCAAATTTTCTAAAAATCCTTGGAATTTTAAAGCAGCCATACTCTACCTACACCTCATCTCGAAAATATTACAGAACTATTGAACTGCTGTTAATATTTTAGTGAGAAGTAAAACAAAGTATCTCGATGGAATATTTACTTGAACCCGCTATTTATTTTTGTAATGAATATATATTTACATTCAGTGTAATTTTCTTTATGAAATCCATTAGAAATCCACGACGTTCAAATTTCTATAACACACGCGAAAATTTGTCAAAGCGCGATAGAATACACAGTAGGAACTACAAGCATTTTCAATGTTTAGGAACACCAAAATGTATATTGTTTTCACTCAATTTCATTTTTTTTAAAAAAACTACCCTTTTAAAATTAACTTAAAATACAACAATTGTGCATTAAAATGAATTTGTCATTTTTTTTATCGCAATGTTTATTTGCGTTATTTATTTTTCCAACTTCACAAACGGCTTTCCAACGTCACAAATGGCTATTATGTTAATTGAGCACACCAATTCCAAAGGGCGCTAAATTCAAATTAAACATGGACGAAATAAAAAAAATATGATAAAGGAAAATCAGAGAATGTAGATATAAGCATTGAATTCATATTTTGGGGTGTCTTCGGTCCTATAACACACCTGGCCCTGCCGACAAATTATCATACCGGTATTTAATTTGTCGGCACGGCCAGGTGTGTTTTAGTACCGAAGACATCCCAAAATATGAATTCAATGCTTAAATGAAGACAAGGAATCCAGTATAGGTATGGTGATTAGAATTCATTTTGATTTTTATTTTTTGAAATTTATCACTATTTATCTCCGTCACTTAATCCATTGATAAATTCATAAACGAATTACTTACTTGTGTCATGTGCTTACAAATGATTATTCTTCCGGGGTCCCTCTTTTGGAATTGACATCGAAAGCACAGAATTTTCTTCTTAAGTACTGTAAATCACTTTTTATTCACGAGAAGTTCAATTTCGCGTAATTTCGGCAATGTGCTCGCAAAGGATTTTTCTCGCGTATATTAGGCCTAGTAGTCCTTAAGATTATATAGAGCAGTAACCACAATTCGTGAAAATATTGTCTCGCTACTAAAGAGTAAATATTTATCTCGCAAAAATACGGTGTCGCGAAAATTAAATGATCTACAGTATTTAGCTATTTTTTTTTCAGGAAGTTCTAATATCAAACATTTGTTGGACAAGATTCTAGATTCTCCAATCATTACTCAATAGTCATGAATATGAGTTAACTTTGATAATTATCAAAATATACTCAATTCAATATAGTCTAATATGCAACAGAATTGCATATGAAATTTATATTACATACCTATGAGTTGTTTCTTCAAAATAAATAGTAAATCATTCTTTAGGATTCAAAATATCAGTCTTGATTTTCTTTCCCCATTGTGTTTTGGGGGAGTTTGCAGGATATACATCTGGGTCTTGGTGTAAGATGGTACTGGACAGTAATCCGCCTCTTCTCTTGTCTGTAGCCGTAGCTGTATCCCGGTACAGTTATATGAAAGACTCCATTTTTTCACGTGTCTGGTCTCAAAAAGTTGTATGTCTTTAGAGGCCACAGAGTTTGTTTCTGTTGTATTTGCACTCTTGCATTCGTGAAGCCGTGGTTGTCGCAGCATTTGCTCAGACCGATGGATTGTTCGATCATACAATCCATGTGACCTAGCTTCTGAACAATGGATGTAAAGCTGTTGATGCCTTGCTGAACCAAAATGTTGTGCTCTGATGTTCTGGAGGCCATTGTTCGCTCTGATCCTATTTGGAATTGTTTAATGGATTTTCGTTCTTGACTTCTTCATCTTAATGTTTCATTAATTTATTCGTTGATGTTTGTTAATAGCAAATTAAAGTTACCTCCAATCAAAACTTCGTTTCCAGTAAAATAGGCGAGCAGCTGAGCAAATTTTATGTAGGATCGTCCATTTTAGCATAAAACTTGTGATCCTCCAGTGGCTGTCAGATCCCAGTGCCAGGATAATAAACCGCTTAACAATGTTCTGTGCCGGAGCCGGTGAGTGAAGTCCACAATAGGAGTTAGAACTTCGTCGGAATCATAGTTTGAGAGTGAAAACTGCGGCTCAGTCGGTCGATGATGGACCTTCAGTCTCGTGTGGAATCATATAGAAGATTCGTTCCGCTCCTGCTTGGGTCCAGTAGTTGTTGATAAGAAACCAAAGCAAAATTTTTCCAAGATAAAAACGTTCACACGATATCGACATAGATGTCTCCTAAGTCTTCCGTTAATTGCATCGTCTCTAGTGGTGGTACTGTGTGTGAATAGATAAATTCCAGTGGTAAATTCTTATTTATTTCATTAATTTTTGCAATATGGGTTCATTAAATGTTTTGATATTAAATGCAGAATTTTATTGAAACATCTACTGTAGACCACTTAATTTTCGCGACACCTTTTTTCGCAAGAAAGTTATTGACTCCTTATTGGCGAAACAAAATTTTCACGAATTGTGGTTTTTGCTCAATATAATCTTAAGGAATTCTATTATACGCGAGAATGAAATTTTCGCGAGCATACCGTCTCGCGTAATTACGCGAAAACTAAGTTCTCGCGAATAAAAGTGATTCCGAGTATTCATTAAGACAACTAGAGCCGACCACGGACTCATTGAATCTTCGAGAACATCTTTTCCTTACATGTCATTAACATACTTATCAACCTCTGCTTGCATGTGTGTGTAAAGGTCTTGGATGCTTTTTGACAGGAGATGTTAAATGATGATAAAGGCACACCGGATTTGCTTTCAGACTTACCAAGAAATTTTACGCCGGACGCCGGACCAAGAATTTTTTAATAACTAAAGCACTTGACCTTTGCATGTTTTTAAGGGTTAGGGGTAGGGTTTACAGAAATGCCAAATAATCTTACTTTTTCGACCAGTTTCTTGACATTGAGTCTGATTAACCCTGGCATTGTTCTCTTTAGTCTCTCGATTCCACCCATTTAATAGTTCTAACACAAATGTAGTCAATACAGCAATTAATTGGATCCTATGTCTCAGGTTTCTTCTGTGTAGACCTCGTGTACGTTGGACTTTCATTGCACACGTTTGTCAGCAGCAGTAAACGTGTCTGATTATACGACGTGCCTCACAACTTCTTTTAAATTTACTGACCTAGCATAATTTACTTTCAACTGCATTTCTCTATCCCGAATTTCATTTATTAATTTTTCTTAAAACAGCTAAATTTGTTAGCCTTCTTATAATTTGTCCGAGTTCTGGTGATGATTTCGAAGCTTTCTGTCATCGCTCACCCAGCTGAGTTTTATACATCTCCGTCTGATTGGGGAGAACCTCTCCTTAAGTCCTCTACATACATGCAGACTAATCTGTAATTGCACTTTTCTCCTTCAGATAATTTGCCGAATACATCTCGAGCAGGGACGTAGCAACAGGGGGCCAGGGGGGCCTGCCCCCCCCCCCCACTTTTTCTGCCAACATTACCTTTACTATAAAGAATGTCCATTGAAAGGATGGTTGCCCCCCCTCCCCCTAACTTTTGACAACAGTATAGAAATATCAAGGAAATGTAACCATAAAATAGGAAGTAAAAAGAACTTTACCTTGAGAAAAGTTCGCCACTACCCCCCCCCCTCCATGAGGATGATATGCTGTTACATGTGTCTGCTTTTACACCTGTAAGTACTAGTTAAGGTTTTTGGCGACTACGTGTATTATTGTCTGTAAGGAAATTATCCAGAAATGAAGGTATAGCGTGCTAGATACTAACTTTGGATTTGGGCTCGTCAGACTCTCTTAATTGACGACAAAACCAGGCTGTTCACTTTTCTGGATGCTAGTAATTCATTTTTATGTGATCAGATTTTGCACCTGACGTTTGGTAGCCTTCGCCTGATGTGGTACGCCTGCTTTCAGATATCCCTGTATCCCTGGCGTTTGCTTTTTTCAATGTTTTCAGATAAGCCTTCCTGTAGATTCCTTCTCTACAGAGGCCATCACATTTCTAAAATACAACTCAGTTATGAAAGTGTTAGGAAGTACAAATTTAATCTTAAAAGAAATCATCAAGTTATCACAGTATTTAACTGAGAACACACTGCAGCCACCAGAATTCGTAACGTGTTGAGGGGTACCTTGTTATTTACAGGATTTCCGGCTTTTTTTTGATAAATAAAGCAATTAAATAACTTTCCTCTTTAAATGATTGTATTAAACGATTAGCCTTAAAAATTACACAGACACCGTCGTTCGCTTTCTAGGAGAAAACACACTTGAAGGTCAGCCTACTATTTACAAAAGGAAGTGAGGGTTCAAAAATGCCACAGAACAGACACATGATATGCCTTATTCGGGCTAGCAGTGTCCATCCCGATATCTAGTCCTAACATTTTACTTATGTCAGCCTCTGAAAACAGAAGTTATACACAAGTTGTCATTATTCAGGACGAACAGTAATATTCAGATCACAATCTGGCAATCCATTTAAAATTGATAAAATGTAAGGCTATTCACCCAGCTTATCTTAAATCCTAAATATCCGTCTTTTTCTCTCTGCTCTCTGAACAAAAGTACCGTGAAAGCTTAGTTGCTCTTGTTTATTTACCCTCTTTTAGGTCAAGTGTTATGCAAAAATCACTAACGCATCCTCAAAGGCCGAATTGCATATTCGAAATACACAAAGCTATGCATCGCTTTTTGTAGCATATTTAATAATGTTTCCATTTCTAATTATTTTTTCTCTGTGATAACCCTTTGAAATTTACCGGAGTTGATTTCTTGACAATTCTACCGGAATGTAAATTAGGCAGGTCGATAGGCCAGGAGCTAAGAAGGCCCTTAACGCATGCAAATCTCGTGCGCATCTGTCTCTGTGCTTGACGCTAAGGAGGCCAAATATGCATGTAAATCTCGTGCGGCTTCCTTTGTTTCTGACGTCAGTGGGCGAGGACTATTGAAATCCGCATGGGAGTCCTTGTGTAATTTAAATCTATATCTACATTTTTAAATCTAAATCTATAATTTTATTTCACAATGAAATGGAAATATAAGGAATCACTGTCTAGTTAGGAGAGTATGCCAGGGACATCAACAATAGTGGGAAACATGGGATAATTTTAGCATAACGGGCGAAGCCCGTTATGCAAATTACCCCATGTTTCCCACTATTGTTGATGCCCTGGCATACTCTCCTAACTAGACAGTGATTCCTTAATTAAAGTTATTAAGTCCCAAGTTTATGGACCGGAAAATTCTTTTAAAACGTTACTCGGTAATTTAATGCTAAGGTTTAAAATATCATTCAAAAAGCCTCGTAATATATGGAATAGAAGAACGCCATAAAAATTGTGACAAATGGGAGGAAAATATTAAGTATTTCTGCATCAATGCATATCATTTTTATTAAACAGACATCATCTATCACGTAGTAAAAGATAAATTCTTAATTCATTTTTTAAAGACATGAACCTATAGTGGTACGTGATTTAATATAAAAGACCAGATTAAATTGATATATTACTGTAATCCATATTCATATTGTACAATTTATATATTATGAATAAAATACTTCTCAAACTATATATTACTGTAATAAAGAACTTAACTATTGCTTGTTTTTAAATGTGATTATTCTTCAATTATATAAGACTGAAAGGGAAAATTGAATTGCAACATTTTTTTTACATATTTTTTCTCTTAAAACAAGCAAAAACTATTATACATATTACTAAGAACAAAACTGAACCAACTACTTCTAAGATTTCATTCTCCATTGTCCAAAATGTATATTTTTGGGCTTTTGTGACGACGGAGGTTAATGGTTTCACTTCTACTGTAATTTCGGAGCAGTTCCTATTTCCACAAACATAATATTTTTCAATGGAAATCCCATTTATCATATTTGACGTGAAGCTACCATTCTTGAATGAAAAAGTTACTTCGTTCAAAATTTCGGTCATGTTTATTTCCAATGTAACATTCGTCTTATAGTTCAAGTTGTACAATTTGCTTGGTGCTAATAATATATGAAATGTTCGAAAACTGTTTATTTTTTCGTTTAATGTGTCCAATGTGCTATTCTGAAAATACCCTATCCACGTGACTCCGCGTAGCTTCCATCGCAATCTTTTCTCAATTGTAACTATCAGGTCTGTTCCTGCATCGTAGTCGTCCGTTGGTGTAGGTGATCTTCGATATCTTTTTGTTTTCTCAACGGATTTCGAAAATATGATCTGGATATTCTTAATTAAATCATCAGTTGCATGAATAGGGCAACTAATATATGCTACGTTCACCAATTGTTTGGCCGATTCATAGATATTTGCGCATGCCTCCCGATATACTTTGTTTACACAATTTGAATAAAGTTCAGGTCCTACTGTAAAAAGGGCTTTGAATCTGTCATGGTTTGGTAAAGAACAGAAGGATGGCACATCTTTATTTGGATTCACATAGCAATCTACATGAGAATCAAATGCTTTTTGTTGTATTTCATTGCATGTTACTTTTTGAAAAGGACGCAAGAAGTAAACTAATGCCACCTGTAGGCATTCACGAACACTATTGATCCATTTCTGACCTGCTGGTGAGAACTGCTGAAAGTGATCTTGATACAGCTGGCAAAACCTAACACCATTGTTAATGGCGTATGATGTTTGATGCATGTCTTGGCATGTGAATTTTTTCTAAATAAAAAAAAGGAAAATAAGACATTAATAAGGTTATATAAGATAAATGCCTCCTATCTCGAAAAACAATCACAATATAAAAACATAAAGTCAAATAACATACTCAGTAATGAACATAAATCATGTGAGTTTTTCTGATCAGAGTGTCTGGCGTCCGTCTGGCGTCTGTAAACTTTTCATATTTTCACTTCTTCTCAAGAACCACCGGGTCAATTTCAACCAAACTTGCCAAAATACTATACTTGAATGACGGGTATTAATGTTTGTTCACAGGAAGTGCCGCGCCCTCTTTCAAAAGGGTCAAGATAGTTAATAATTAATGGCATCTTTTTAAAGAAAAAACACGGGGCAAGAAAAGATTATACTTTTGTGAAAGCTTGCTCACATACTGTAGGTTAAAGTTAGTTCATATCATAAACCAAGAAGGTAGAACAGGGCTGCAAGACCGTGTCGAAGTTTCTCATAGGAATATGTAGGAAATTTCTTTTAAGATCTTCTTCACTAGATCAGCAAAGTCATGATTGGTCATATTATAAAAAAAGGTATCCCCAGGTAGTTTAAATTCATGTTTGTTCCATTAATGGCCCCTGGGTGAAGGGGATGTAGGGGGGTTTAAATATTTTACACAGTTTGATGTAAGTGTAATGGTTAAGGGGCTTTGAGTAAATCGCATGGAAGACCTTAAATAACGGAATGTCCTGACAACCCTTGGAATGTACTACCCAAACTATGAGATATATAAGGCAAATCTTTGATAATGTCACACATTCGATACTATTCGTTATCTCCATATGTTTCATTCAGAAGCTAGCTAAAGAAGTTAATGTATCCCATCCCTTATATAGCAAACAAATTCAATAAAATTGAATGCATAACAAATGTGAAGGTATTTAAAATTCAGTATATGCATATATGCACATAATACCCCGGTCTTTCGGATGAGAATTTATAAACCAATGTCTCGTGACCAGTACGTGGTGGCACGAAAAAGATCCTTCCAAGCTCAAAGGCCCTGAGTGCAGAGTAAATGACAAAATTTGCAGCTCTCCACTGGCAAGTGGTGGCGTCTCCATATGAGTGAACAATTCTCGAGGGGGACTTTAAACAATATAAAATCAATCAATCAATCGTAATTCCCATTTTGATTATTATTATGCATGTAAGTGTGAGATGTGTAATAACTTATGGTCTTTATGTTTGGTAAGGGTTTCCCCCTCTGTAATTGATTTTAAAAAAATCAATTATTATAAAACTATTCTGGTTAATAATACGTTTTCAATTGTCATTCTTTATTAAAGTTCAAATGCATCTTTTCCCCGAAGTATTTTTTTTTTAAAAAGTTTGTAACCATAGACTTCAATACAATTTTTATTAATTAATTAACCAATAATAATTAACTAACCCTAACCCTAACCCTGATCGGGAAATAACGGAAAAATAAAGGATCAAAAATTAGTATGAAAAACGTCAGTAAGCATTTTACTCAATGATAAACGGTACATGCTGACAAGGTCATTGTATCGACCATAGAACTTACGAAATGATGACTGTAAACGAGACTAACAAATGGAGGTCTTTAATGTTTCACATGAAGTGTGATAATAGTGATATAGTTCTACTCGGTATTTCATGAAAAATATCTATAACATAACTTTCAAAATGTTGTGCAAGGTGCACTAGCCATTGTGCTTTTTATTGTTCTAACCTTTTTCTTACAAAATGGCGATAGTAATTCACATTTAAAAACTAATAAAAAGAATTTAATAGAAAGGTTAACCAAAATGTTGCCAATCGGTTCCTGTTCGCCGTAAACATATTCCTCAACGTAGCAGGGTCTAAGTTTAGGAATTCAATGTCCTTCTCGACAAGTTTCTGCAATACATTCTTTATACAGAAGCAACCTAACGCAGAATCTAGATTGATGAAATCATATGAGTTATCATTGAGTCAAATGCTGACTGAAGTTTTTCATACTCATTGTTAGTCCTTTATTTATACTCTGGACTGACGACAGATTTTCCCGTTATTTTCCGATCATAGCAAGGAGCACAAGGCGGGTGGGCAGAGAATGTTACTCCTTTATGGCACCTGATCCCACCTCTGATGTTTTGGAAGTCTACGTTGCTCTCTTGTTTTTTTTTTTTTTGTTTTGTAATGTTTAATGAACTTTTATATTAAATACTGTTCGATACCTTCATTCTTTGTTAAATTAAAAACAATACTAGCGTAAATTGAAGGTCAAAATTTAAAAAAGATAGACTTTAAACTTGAGAATTTGTAAAGGATTTTATCCTATTTAGAGATAACTCTCTTATCAAAGTGTCAGCGAACCTTAAAAAAAGAAGGGGGTTTCTGACAATGGATAATCAAAATTGCAAGATGCACCTTGGATCTTCTGGTATTATGGCTGTTTAAAAGATAATATTGACCAAACAAGATATGACATTTAAAAGCAGAAAACACTTTTAAATTGCAATCGGAAATTTTTAGACAAAAGAAAAGAGGGCAAATCTCACAGTCAGAAGAAAGCTCATATTAAGATAGAAACAAATAGAAGTTTTGTTAATTAAAGTATGAAAATTAAAAAAGCAAATAACAATTTAAACGAATAATTTAAAACAGAATCAGAGATTTAAAAAAAAAGATACGAGAATGCAATCAGAACTTAAAGAACAAAAACTGCTGATCAGGAAAATAAATAAGGTACTTATTAACAACAATTAGAAAACAAAGTCAAAGAATATTAAAATAAAAACATACAGAGAGTGTTTAGATAATTAAACTCTGCAAACCTTGTTTGTAGGGTTTTAGAAAAAATATGAGCCCCTAGGCCGAAGTCCATCAAATAGGCTATCATCTGATGGAAAGTGGTAACTTGAAGCCTTTCTTCACACAATTCTTTCAGATTATTTTATAGGGATACGTTAATACCATATTCAGACGCAAGAGAAATATAAGTACATGAATAAGGAAAGTCAACGATGGAAAAAAAGAAGTCATCTCGTATATGAAACAGATGTGCAGACTGCATGGTGTCTTTTATTTTAAGTACTCTGAAATATAGCAATTTGATATACAGTATAGCGGGTTTCTTATGTCGGATGGAAAATGTTGCGTTTTGCTTGCTTAAAGGTATCCAAATAATTTTGTCGAAACATTTTCGGGCAGACACAGAGTTCTATGACATTGAAAAAGAGAGTTAATTCATATTTTAGATAAGTTTCAGTACGCTTAATATACCAATTTACACATTAGTTTGCGTAAAGCAATCCCATATGAACGTTAAAATGCTTATACAATAGACTTATCGAGGTTATTTAAATCTTTATTGCCAAAATTCAGTAGCGATAATGAAAGGTGCAAATTTGGCGATTAAGATTTAGCTGCTCACTAAAAATTAAAAAGTTAAAACCCTGCAAAAAATACCTGTCATACGAATGAAATTAACTATTGTTTATTGATAATACGTCCGTCGATATATGTAATTTTCCAGTTAAAGGCCACAGCTTTCTTTTTCTTCCTCCTCTGGTTCAAGGTCTTAACAATCTTAAAATCAGTACAGAAGTAATTTGTCATGCCCCCCCCCAAAAGGGAACAACTTTTACAAAACGTATATTAGAAAAATCTTTAGTTAATGTCTTATTCTAGATGTTGAATGGTCATATCAATATAATGGTCATTATTCGTAGCATAAAGAAGTTGTTAAATTCATAGCAGATGGAACAATCCTTTATGTTTATAATAAAAAAATGTAATTGGAATATTAGTCTAGGAAACAAAATAAGTGTCAAATTTATAAATAATTTTCCAGTAAATTATTGTACAAAATTGTTTGTAAAATTGCTTTCATAGCATTGTGAGATGTATCGTTATATCACACGTATAATACCTCTAGACACTGAGAGTACCAGGAACAATTATCTCCAGAAGGACTGTAGCACCAGCTGGGAAGATCATTGATTGGCAGGGTTTGGTTTTCATTACACTCACAATCTTCAGAAACAGTTCCTATCATTAATTGAAAACAGAATTCGTGTATTGATAGTCTTCCATTTTTTTAAGTTTCTGAATAAGATGGGATAAAAAAAATGAACATACCTGATTCAACTTTATGATCCTCGAGCATGCACTGATAATAACAAAATGTTGCATGTTTCTCTACACATGAGAACTTTCCTTTGGAAGCTAAGTAAATGTATGTATTTGTAACACACGTTGCCCACTGGGCTCTTTCATAAGGTGGATTTGAAATAAAAACACACACTGGAGTCCCTGGTGGTCCATTTTCTGAATCACACTCCGCTGAAATATACTTAAGGAATCACTGTCTAGTTTTGAGAGTATGCCAGGGCATCAACAGTAGTGGAAACATTGGATAATTTGCATAACGGGCGAAGCCCGTTATGCTAAAATTATCCCATGTTTCCCACTATTGTTGATGTCCCTGGCATACTCTCAAAACTAGACAGTGATTCCTTATATTTCCATTTCATTGTGAAATAAAATTGTAGATTTAGACTTTAAAAATGTAGACATAGATTATAATCACACGAGGACTTCCTTGCCAATTTCAATAGTCCTCGCCCATTGACGTCAAACACATAGGCAGCCGCACGAGATTTACATGCATATTTGGCCTCCTTAGCGTCAGACACAGAGACATGCGCACGGGATTTGCATGCGTATTATGCCTAGCTCCTGACCTATCGACCTGCCTAATTTACATTCCGGCATAATTATCAAGAAATAAACTCCGACAACTTTCAAAGAGTTATCACAGAGAAAAAAATTAGAAATGGAAATATTGCAGTATTAATTTCTCTAGGCAAAGCAATTTTAGCGAAGACATTCTTTGATACTTCTTTTCGTCTTTGAATAGAAGAATGCAGTCGCCCTACCTCAAAGATTAAATAATGTTATGCAAATAAAAGTCTAGTGTTGAGATAGTGATAATGCATCTGGATCAACAAAACCACGTTAAACGGCAAGATATCATCATGTTATGATAAATATATTTGTAGAAAAGGTTTTTTCATATTAAAATATTTGTATGCTTAATGTTTATACTTTTGTGTACATCTCAAATAATTTTGTGAGCGTCTCTATGGACATACTAGCAATATTATTCACAGATTGTGTAGTAATAGTCCACTCTCACCTGCCTATAGAGTTAATGTTTCAGTCGATTTGATACGTAAGAACATCGTTTTCTGTACGAACAATTTCTATAAGGACTATTGACAAATATGTTATTGTTACAAAAATATCAAGATAATAAATTGAATCAATATTTCACAGATATTTTGTTCTATATAACAGACTTATTTGCAAATACAATTGGTAAGTAAGTCTTCTGAAGACTGTTGTTTTTTCAAATTAATCGCTCCATTTTTTTCATTAGTTGGGACTGTTGTTATACGAAAATACTTTGTTAAAACATTCTAGTTCTACACACGATTAAACTGAGGATTTCGAAAGGATTTTGAAGTTCTTTATCGACAATATTTATGTTGTTTTTTTTTGGTTACTAGGCATTCAAAGCAATTTTTGGAATACCGAGGGGTACCAATTGCGCTCCTGTACAAAATGACCTTTTTATATTACTTCTCAGCAAATAATATTTAAATAGAAATATATTTGATAAAAACGAATACCTGTTGGTGCCTTCACCTCAGCAATAAGATATTATGAGGGTGTTTTCTCAAATTAAATTAATAGATATTTGCAATCGAACTCGCAATAAAATAAAACTTTTTAAGTCAATTTCCCTTGCAAATCAATATATTCCAATCGCTTGCATAAAGGGTTTATGTTTTCAGTGCATTTAATATGCAAGAGCATTCTCATACGAAAATATTCCAATACAAGTTTAGCTATTCACAAACAAATTAATGAAACAAGAATAGTCTCGTATGAAATCACCATTTAGGAAGTTCTATGGTCGATAAAATGCCTTTATCAGCAAATAAACCTGATCGTTTAGTCCAATGCATGCTGACTGATGTTTTCATATCAATTTTTAGATCATTATTTACACATTGAATTATGTTATTTCCCGATTTAGCCAAGGAGCACAAGATGTGTGTAGTCGGTCGGCTAACGATGCACACTCCTTTATGAAACATGATCACACCTATGATGTTTTAGAAGTTCGTGTTTACTTTGCCTCTGATTGTATTCTTTTAATTGACGTTTGAGCTTCAATACTATCTATTATCTCTATATATTTCATGTGACGGTTCCTGAGAAATGGAGACGTTATCATTGGAACGCACGAAAGATTATTTGTTTCCTTGCTTAATATTGCAGGATTAATAATCTCTGGAAAGGATTGTCTGTTTAATGATAAAGTGTCCATCATCAAATTTCAAACGAAATAGGAAAAAGATACCTCTAAAACTGTTATTTTTATCAGAAAAGGAAGGTCATTCAGAATATCACTTAAAATTTAGATACAACAAGAGGCCCATAGGATGTTTCCCCATAAGTTTCATCTTTCCTGGCACAGTGGTTCTTGAGAAGAAGATTTTTAAAATATACCACTAAATTTTCATTAATTCCCAATTATCTCCCCTTGAATAAGGGCGTGGCCCTTCATTTTAGCAAACTTGAATTCCCTTCACCCAAAAATACTTTGTGGCAAGTATGGTTGAAATTGGCCCAGCGGTTCTTGAGAAGAAGTCGAAAATGTGAAAAGTTTACAGACAGACAGACAGACAGACGGACAGACGGACAGACAGACGGACAGACGGACGCCGGACAAAATGTGATCAGAAAAGCTCACTTGAGCCATCGGCTCAGGTGAGCTAAAAATTGGAAATATAAAAAATTAAATCACTGACAAATTGAGGGGTGCATGCGTGCTCTGCTTCAAAAGTTTATTGTTTTTTTTTTTATTTTTTCAAAAGTATATTGACGACGTATTGTCAATTATAATAAACAATAGTAATTTCCATTTCTACGTCGATGCGATATTTATTGAGATAAAAGATATCACAGAGTCTGACACATTTATTTCATGCTTGAATATTTTACTTGAACAAGACGTTAATGGTAATCTACCAACCAAGCTATATGATAAACGTGATGACTTTATCTTTTCCATCGTCAACTTCCCTTACGTATGCAGCAATAAGAGCATGCTCTACATACGAAAAATTTCTAAAACGAGGTAAATTATTATCAAACAAATTGATGATATAAGAATATCAGTAGTCTCGTTTAAAGTCATCATTTTTTAAGGTCTATTGTCGATACAATGACCTTGTCAGCAAATACAGTTTATCATTAAGTCAAATGCTGACTGACGTTTTTCATACTTATTTTTAGTTCATTAATTATACACTGAATTGACAACGGATTTTTTCGTTATTTCCTGATCATGACAAGGAGCACACGGCGGGTGTGATCGGTCAGCAGGGGATGCTCAATCCTCCATGGCACCTGATCCCACCTCTGATGTTTCGGAGGTCCGTGTTTGCTCTGCTCCTATTTTGTATTGTTTTAAGAAACTTTGATATTGAATATTATTCGTTATCTCCATATCCTTCTACTTATTGTTTAGCAATCATTTACACACTACTTGTAAGTTGATTTTTCCGTTATTTCCCGATCATGACAAGAAGCACACGGCAGGTGTGACCGGTCGGCTCTGCTCTTTTTTTGTATTGTTATATGAAGTTTTGTGCTTGGATACTGTTCCTTATCCCCATATATTTCGATCTAAGTTTATTTGAAATAAAAAATACTAAAGAGTCTGACACTTCTATTTCATATTTGGATATTTTACTAAAATAAGACATAAATGGTAATCTATCAAAAAGCTTTAAGATTAACGCGATGACTTCAACTTTTCGATCGTTAGCTTCCCCTACTTGATTAAGCAATATTTACATTTCTATTTTTTTTTCTCTGTGATAATTCTTCAAATTTTATGTTATTTGATTTCTTGATCATCTGTCGGCATCTCAATTTCGCCAAGTGATACGTCAGGAGCTAAGAAGGACCAATGTACATGTAAATCTCGTGCGGCTGTATTTGTGTGACGTCAATATGCTGGAACTATTAAAGCTGATACGCGGAATATGTGTAATTTAAATCTATTTGTCTGCATTTTTAATTTCTAAATTTACTATTTGATTTCACAAAAAAATGGAAAATATAAAGAATCACTTTTTAGATAGTAGAGTATGCGAGGGGTATCATCAAAAAGTTGAAATGTGGGATAATTTAGGCATAACCGGTTTTGTTGATTCCCTGGCAAATCCCTTCAACTAGAAGTGATATTTGAAACACTCCCTTACCTCGCTTTTGGTTTTATGTCTGTCATTTCATTTAAAATGAAAAAACATAGACGGTAGAGAGATGAATGAAATATAATTACATAATTTAAACAAAAAAAACACATGTATATTTTTACTTTAAAACAACCGAAGTCTATTTTACTCAATGTGCTTATGATTCCCACAATCAAATCCCTGAATTAACCATCAAAACTGATACTACTTTGGTGGAAATAATAAGAAATTCCTTATAAATTAAAACATGTTTGTTCAAATAAACCTTGAAAGAAAAACCTATTTAATTTATTAAGTACACGTAGAAGGTGTATCGTGGAGCGGAGGTCGTATAGATAACTAGATGCCTCGAGAAGTTATTTAAAAATTCTAGATTTACTAATATTATGTAGTAAATCTACCGAATATTTAGTAAAAACTACTGTTAAGGTAGTATGGAAGTAAATTTACCAGTCTTCTTAGTGACTTTTACTAGGTTTTTCAAGTTTATCGGTGGGTCCAAGATCCTAGACCCTCCGGACAAAAGTATCAAAATCTGGAAAAGAGAGACTTCAGACGTAATGTGCCAGTATTAACTACCCCTGCAATGTGGCTGGATTTTATTTTTAGACTTTGTAACTGGAAGAAAATACATTGAAATAAATCTGTACTGTACAATTATGGAGAGGTCTTGCATGGTTTTCTGTAAACTACGTTTTACACAATCCTGTCTTACCTGCTACCCTTAGTAATCTTGCTTATATTCCGCAACGAAATATATGGAGGTAACGAACAGTATTCAGGCTTAAAAGTCCACAAAACACCTACATATGTCGGGAAAATCTTTTTTTAAAAGATCCATTTCCCATAGCTGTGGAACCACATTTAACAACCAATAGGAAGCACTTTGATTTAAGTTCTAATTTTTTGTATATTATGCAAATCAAGTACAAGTAGATAAATTTATAAATTTACTTTTTGATTAATCATTTTCATAATATGAAAATAAATTTTGTTTTCTTTATTTCCTTCAATTATTTTTTATCTCGATTGAACAAATAAGGAGCTAAGTGTTTGCAAACAATTTTATCTTTTTGCTGAATCCGTGAAAGGCCATAATAAAATGATTTTCAATCATTTATGATGGGTATTTTTCTTTATCTAAAAGGTCTTGATACTTCCCTCTTCCAATTGCTCTATTTATTGATAATGTGGCAAAGTCGTAAAGAATATTTTGTCAACTGTTTAAAGGTTCCTACTTTCATTATTGAATATTTTGACAAATTAGTTATTTCCCTTCCCTAATATTTAAAATATAACTATCATTTCCAAAAATTACCGAGTAATGGAAATATGGTACATTACAAACAGTAAACGAAATTAAATAAGAAATAAAATAATATTCAAATTAATCATTCAAAGGTCATTGTTTGTAGCTTTTTATAATTTATGTCGCTTTAACATCAACTAATATGAAAAGATTTGAAGGCATATTTCCTTCTTAATCGTTGTTCCTTCCTATACATAAAAATTATGCAGGAGTGAGAAGTGGAGTGCTGATGCGCTAGAATCCCACATGACGATAACAATGTTCGTTTAAGTTTACAAGCAAATCAATCTACACAATACAAAGAAAAACAAAAATGCTATGAATAAATGCGACGAATATGAATACTCATGCCTAAAGCGTCATGTGCACTTCATGGTTTTGGGGTGAATTTTACAATGCAGAATTGTTCTTTGGACGGATTTGTTATTATAGACAAATATGAACCTCACCAGAAAAACCTCTTTAAAATGACTTTCATTCTTTATTGACAACCACAACATGCCAGATAATTTTGTAAAGGAGACAACATATTAAAGCTTGATCTATATAAAAATTTAGTCCTGCTGTGATTGTCTCCCTTTGTACTGTGTAAGAATAGCCTCCCCTGACACTTTCAACATGGTTTTAATCTCCTCCTGAAGTTCTCAGATTTTATTCTCGGTCTTCTCCATCATTTCTTTGTACTTTACGCCCCACTGTGTTTTTATCAATCAAAGTTTCTCGTTGATAAAATACTCATGATCAAACAGGATATGGAGCATTATTACAGGATTCAAAAAATTCAAAAATAATGAACATAAACATGTTATCAGATGTCGTTGACTATTACAGGTATGCCATTGCATGATTATACATTTCCTACTTCATTTTTAAATATTCTCTATTCTGATTCCCTTTAACAGATATTTGTCTTGTAAAATATCATTTAAGAAAGATTTTAAAAAATTGAAAACTTTGAGTAACACATCTTTAACAAGATATATTAACGGCTCAAAAGTTCTATGATTTTAAAACAAAAGAAAATGTTTGTAGAAGACTTGTACAGTTTCTAGCAAGTATTCAGAAATAATATTATAACTTTTAAAATTTTGTCACAGAATTCTGAGTGAAGCTTCTCTGTAAATAGTATTTTATAAGGTAGGTTGATTGGAGTGCTGTTGGCCATAGAACCCAACATGAAAACAGGGGAACTCAAATTCTAAGATGAACCTAACGATAAACCTTCGACTTAAACCTAACCTATGTTAATCACAGAACAAGAGGCACCTCCGCCACATGCATATGGCCTCATCTGCACTTCACTTTTTAAAAAATCTTTTTACATAAAATTATTAATCAGAAGACTGAAGAAATAAAGCTGTTCTAATTCTTTTTTCTTTCCCTTAATTGTATTTTATTAAATCAGCTAAATTTTTTAATCATCTGACTAAAGTGTAAAATCTTCAAAGATGCTGGGCTTTAATTAAGATCATTAAACTTCTTTTTAAAAAAATCGCGAGGACTTTGCTAACGGCAACTTTAAGTTCCAACTTCTATCAGTACCATTTTTTGCTACTCACACATACCAATACGTTACATATACACTTATTTCAACAAAAAATGGAGAAACCGGACTTTCAATGCCAATATCCTTTAAGGACAAAACTATTTATAAAAAAAAAATGAAGGGGCTCATATCATTCCTCCCCTAATACTACTTGTCTGCAACGATGTTCTAGCTCTTAACTTATTTATATATAATTCAAGGATATACATTTCCGGATATTGACCATGGTGTTTTGGATATGACTATTTTTGACACTTTAGAATTCAATATTGTTAAAAAAAATTACCAACTGAAAGGGAGATTTGAAGTTTATTTATAAATTCTATGTCACCATGATTATTCCAGAAATAAAAAAAATGCTCATTCAAAATTTTTCTTGATTGTGATGATTTTTTCTTACCTGCCTTAAACTGAGAATACTTTCATGAAAATACATGTATTATACATTGGAAAAGCAGAGAAGCATCAATATGTATATCTATCTGATCATCTATCCCCTTTGATGATTATGTATTTTCAAACTTTCAAATTTCCTTAATTTTCAGAATATGTAATCAAAAGTAAATGATGTATATGATGAAACAAAAACAACCTTTTCTACTCTGAAGACGAACAACAATACTACAGAACATTTTTAATTTTCTTTTAACATCATTTTCTTTCATATCGGCTGATGTCGCCCATCGTAGATTTTTGCTTTTAACTATTTAGTTTTCGAATGACATGAAACGGAATAATATCTTTTTTTCAGAATATATACATGTTTAAGAGCGTTCTTTTATTTAAACAAAAAGGAGAAACGAAACTTATATGCATTTATACTCACAACTTTTTCGTTAAAGCAATATGAGCTGAATGTTTGAAAATTTTATTTATCTATTAAAATCTGTTATGATTATGATAAATTTCTATTTTACTTACCCTGTATGAACAATTAGACTAAAATAAAGCAGGAAAAAGACTTCTATATACAATTCAATACACAGTTTTATATCAGAAATCATTATTGTACAGGACAACAGTAATGTAATTTTGATTCAATTGGAGCTTATGAATATAATTCTTCCATCGCAAATATGCATCATGCAACAGACGTTTTTTCTTGCATTGAATTATTACCAATTTTGCAACATATTCAAAAAAAGTTGCAATTCGTTGCTTTAAAGAAATTGGATACAAATTCAAAGCCTTTTCTGAAGCTTGTTCTTGTTGCTTGAACCACTTCAAAAAAAGAGAAAAACTTGAGCCGAGTGAATATATAGTTTATTGCCAAGATAAATGATAAGGAGTGAAACAAAAGGATGCATCATATACAATTACTTAGCACAATGTGCATTAAAAGCTGGGATAAGGTTAAATGTTGAATAATATTTCAATTTAGATATGTAACATTATAACTTCTACTGATAAATAATGATTACAAAATTTTTGCAAAAAGAAGGTGGTGTACAAAAAGAGGAGCCACTTGTATTTTACTTACAGGAATAGATTAAAATCAAATTCATATGATGCGTTAATTGCAGGATAGAAACACAGGTTACATGAAGAAAAATTCATCAAATCTATATGGTAAGACAGCCAAAACAAATTTAATTTTTCCAATTACAAATATTTTCCATTAACATAATTGTACATCAGAGGAGGAAGGGGGTCGTGGTTAAAATTACCATAACCTCGCGCTTCCACCGAAATATTGGACTGTCTTTCACCAATTTTAACTATTTTCAATTGCCAATGAACACATGTCATAACTAACTAATTGTATGAAATTCTAATTCAATAATTTTTAAACAACACGATCTTTATTTAACATGCTTCGGATAACTACAAATTTTTATTGAATTGAAATTAACAATGTAAAAACACTGCATATAAAACATTTTATGAAACTTAACATTTTATTTATATTCACAACTTTTTCATTTTACAAATTACAAACTTTAAAATGGTAAAGTTAAATTTTGATTATAACGTTATAAATTATAAATTCATTGAAAACAGACATTTTGAAATTATTCCAGCTGACAGGTCACGAAACAATTAATACACATGTAAATGTTGTTTGTAAGGTTCGTTATTGCGATTGTATTATGTAAGAAATTGGATTTATCTCTATGTCTAGATATCCAGCTTCTATCATACTAATTGTAAACAGGTGTTATTTACACACTAAATCGGATTATCCGTTGTTTCCAAGTTATGAAAAGAAGCTCACGGTGGGTGTGTCCTGTTTTCAGTGAATAGTTTATCCTCAATGATACCCGATCCCACCTCTTCATCTAGAGGTTTTAGAGGTCAGTGTATATTGGCGATCTTTCATTAGACTAAATTTTGTAGTAAAATTAAATGTTTTTCAACCATTGACTAGAACCTAAAAATAGATTTCCATTATTTTGCTTTTAACAACTCCAAGTTAGAGTATATTCCTTACAGATGTTTTTTTTTTTCTGCTTTAATATAGTCATACACTTATAGCCATACAATATGTTACTAAAAGCAATCTAGTAGATTAAATGATGATTTTTTAGAGTTTTCCTAATTTCGTAAATAACAATTTCTCCGTTCTACTTCCCAACCCAGAGTCTGTCTTGGTTGATAACAGATATAGATTGCTAACCAATAAGGCAACAGACACGGCCGTTCTGGTAATCGCAAACAAACTTGTTTCCTTTTTCCATCAAAACAAATAGATATTGGTTCAAAAGTTGTTAAAGCAATCAGTACTTTGCCTTAGTCTATCTAAACAATACACATGATTTCCATCAAATGCGATTCTATCAGCAGCTATCATAGACTTTAGTTTAAATAAGCACAAACCTTTAGCATAGTCCTTTATCTTATAGCATTGCACTCTTTAATTGATAAACATGTCAGACTGACAATACTTTGTATGCTATTTACCTTCTCGGGGCAGAAGAAAAAAGTTACAAACACAGAGAACAAGTGATTTTAACAAAATCCACTTTTAATTCTGAAATATATTGAGATAAAGAACAGTATTCAAGATCAAAAGTTCACAAAACAATACTAAATAGGAGCAGAGCAAACACGGACCTCCAAAACATCAGAGGTGGAATTAGGTGCCATGGAGGAGTAAGCATCCCCTGCCAACCGGTCATTGTACATTGTACCCAATACTCCTTCGGGATATGGGCGTCACTGCCACTCACAACAACTATTTGAATATTATGTAAGAAGTCTTTTCTGCAGAATAAAACAAAAAATTTTCTCCGTCATTTTTTTAAGTATACACCTAATATTAAATCATTTTGTTAGACGACAGAGGAAGTATGTTTAAGACTTTGAATAAATGTACTTGACGTTGACTAGTTGATGTGTCTGAATACTAGGATCCTATAGAACATTTTTTTTTATCTTTCATGTGTTTAAAGTACAAGATATAGAAAATATATATTGCAAAACGAAAGTAATATACTATATAGATATATATCATAGTTACATTGACGGTGTAATAAAGCAGAGGTCTTTCTGCCATAGATTTTCAAACTGCTGTAATTTCCAACTAGAAAGATTTTCAAATACTAATATGAATATGTTTCCCTTTTATACATGTATTTTTTGTTGTATTTTTTAATAAACTACATGTAACTATCCATCATATCAAAAATATTTTATCTGACCCATTAGTATATTAAAGTAATAAATATAATATATTCATAAGATATCACTTAATTGCAGAGTAGAGTTCATTAAAAAAAACTTAAATTGTATTTCGATTAACAAATTTCAAAGCAATCATACATCTTCACCCCCAAAGTATAAAAGTTAAAAGTTTCAAACAATATTACTTGAATTTCTTTTTCTCATGCAGAGAATTGCTGTTAAAAATATCAGTAATAACAACGAGCTCCCGCCTGATATCAAAATTGTATTTGATAGCGACCAAAACTTATCTTTTGAAGCCTTTCTCATAGCCGACGACAGGGGTTCAAATTCCAAAAATTTATTCATGCAGTTGTTATCGACACATACAAAGTATTTGACGATTGAAATTCCATTGATCATATCTGAAGTAAAGGTACCATTACGGAACGCGTCTGTTACCTCCTCTACAGCTTCGGTTACATTGACCAGCGAGGAAACGTTTGTATTGTCATTCAAATTATAAAGTTTACTGGGTGCAATTAATATATTTAAATGTTGCATCACAGACTTCTTGTCTGTTTTTATTTTGTCTTGGAAGTACGCTATCCATGACACACCTGTTGATTTCCATTCCATTTGGTTTGCAATCTTATTTATGAGTTCAGCTCCAGCTGAGAAATCATCCGTAATTGGTGCTGATGTAAGATATCTAGATTGACCAGTGGAACCATAATACACGACCTGAATTTGCTTAACATTATTTGCAACAGACAATATGTTTTTGCTAAAGTAGCAGGTCTTCAGTGTTTTCCATAATTGATAAGCTGATGCAAAAATATCTTTGCAAAGATGCCAATGTTGAAAGCAGTTTACAAAGAGTCCCGGTATAACAGTAAATCCAATTTGAAATTTGTCCGACATTGTTAAGTCACAAACTGATGGAGCATTTTTTCTTGGGTTTGTGTAGCATTCTACATGAGAATCGAATGCCGTTTGTTTTATATCGTTACATGAAATATTGAAGTATGGACGAAGGAGTGGAACCAATGCAACCTGTAAACACCCCCTAACGGCATCAATCCATTGCTGACCCATTATTGAAAACTTTTTGTAATGTTCTTCATACAAGTTGCAAAACTTGTCACCGTTGTTTATCGCATATGATGTTTGTTGACTCTGTTTGCAAGGAAATCGCCTCTATTGTGACAAAGAGAGATCAATAATTCAAGCATGAATTTAAACATTATATTTTTTATTTGAATTCATAATACAATTTGAGAAGAATGAAAACCATTATTTGATTTGTTTCAAAACTGTTTACCTCCAAGCAGCCCCTGTACCAATTGCAGTCTTTACCCGATGGACTGAAACAATGACTCGGGAGTTGGGTTTTGTTTGTCAGTAGAGCTTGAGTTTCCTTTGGGGCGTCAATTCCACACGCACATTCATTATGCACATCACCTTAAAATGTAAAAGTTATATTACAACACTGATTTTTGTTATTTTATTTTATTTTTACTCCTAAAATATACCCCGGTATGCCTATGGTCAAGTATTGTCCTTTTGAAGGACAGCAACTTTTTTTCATTACTTACCATCAGGAATTTCATAGCTTTCCATCATGCACTGGTAATAGCAGTAAGTTGCAGAGTGGTCTCGACAAATAGCGTTTCCTTTTGAAACTGTCTGAATATATTCATTTGTCAGACAAGTGGCCCATTGGTACTTTGAATAATATGGGTCTAGAAGCACACATTCCGGAGAACCTGCTGGTCCATCATTTCGATCACAGGAACTGGAAACTAATTGTAGATGAATTATGATGATTGACAGGTGTATTAAAATCGTACCTTCCATTTTTAGGGGTATAAACCTTGTTAAAGCGCAATCTTTAGTGGGCATGCTATGTCAGTATCTCGAGTTATCTTTTTAAAAAAAACAACCGGAAATAAATTTAAGATAAAATAGACAGACTTTGTACTAATTCACAACATATTCATAATTTGTTTTCCATCGCAATATTTCATATCTTTATCAATCTGTTAACAAGAGAAAAAGTTCATAGTTTAAGACCTTTAGTCTGAATTTTGTATTGTTTGCAGTAAATATTTGTGCTTCATATTTTTTTCACAGTCAGTGCAAAGACGACTGTCTACCCACGTTTAAACCCTAATGTGCACTAGTCCCCCAAAAGCTGAACTTTTAAGGGAAGGGTACTGCTGGCCAGTTAACACTTCTGTGAGAAAGTAGTGATGGAACCTTTTCTAAATTCTTAGATCTGCTCCTCAGGCTTATATGCCTACTATACATATGGCAATAAAATTATGTGTTATATTCGCAAATAAGGATACTTATAACTGAATAAATAAAAATATGAAGTGATTTTATCATATAGAGAAAGTTATTGTACTTGTGCTTTCAATTTTAGAGAAGTTAAAATAGTTTAATAATGAAGTTTAATGTTGGACAGTTGTCTGGACATTGAAAATTTTCCGTTTGCACGACCGTGTTAGTGAGCACAAGGCGGGTGTGTCCTGTCCGGTGGATGATGTTTACTTCTCCATTGCACATGATCACAACTCTGATGTTTTTGCTCCGATTTTGTATTATTCGATGTAATTTTTAGTTTGATTATTTTTTGTTATCTTCATATTTTATATATTGTTTATAGGATCTCTGAGATTGATACGTGTTTATTATCCTAATTTTTGTTCTTAATTTCAAAGTCAATAAAATGGCATTACTGATCATTATCGGATAATACAGTCGTATTAGAGAAGTAATGACATTAAGATTATAACAAAACGATTCAAGAAAAGGGCGTTTCTCATTGTATACGCGGTTGCATAATATCTTCCCAAATGTTACATAGATTTCAATAGATAATACCCCGGCAAGATACTCCAAATCTACTTCCCGTCGTAGTTGCTATCGTGACTATTTCACAAAACACTTCAGCGGACATTTGAACGACAGAGGGGGTACCGACAAGGGTTTTGCAGTGTCACATTTCGAAGTATAGTCAGCAGCCGTTGTTCATATATCATTTTTAATATCAACTACTTTTGCATGAATTTCAAATAATTTTAGAGCGTTTCTAAAAGCAAACTAGGAAATTTATTTACAGTTCATTTAGTAATAGTCCATGAAGTAAAAGTCCATAATCACCTGCCTATAGAGTTCCTGTTTTTCAGTCGATTCGCAAGAACATATTTTATGTACGAACAATTTCTGTAAGGAGGCAGACTATTGACTTATAAGTAAATGTTGCAAAGATATAAAGATTCTCGTATGAATTCAACATTTTGCAAATTATTTGGTCTAAACAACAATCTTGTTTATTGATAAATTGGTAAGTAAGTCTTATTTAGACTGCTGTTTTTCAAATAAATTGCTCAAAAATGTTCATCTGGGACTGATGCTATACGAAAATACTTTGTTAAAACATTCTAGTTCTACACACACTTACATTGAGGATTTCGAAAGGATGTTGGAGTTCTTCATTGACAACATTTATGTTGTCTTTGGTGACCAGGCCTTCCAAGCAATTGTTGGAATGTCGAGGAACTCCCATTGTGCTCCTTTATAAAACGACTTTTTTTATATTCCTTCTCCAATCTATATGTTGTGGCCTTCAACTCAACATCAGATATTACGACGAGGATGTTTTCTCAATTTAAATTAATAACTTCGAATTATATGTCGATATGATGTTTGCAATCGAACTCGAAGTGAAACAAAAGTTATGTCAGTTTCCTTTGCTAAGCAATAAATGATAATCGCCTGCATAGGGGGTTTATGTTTTTCAGTTGATTCGATACGCTAGAGAATGGGTGATAAAATGCCCTTATCAGCAAATAAACCCTGTCATTAATTCTGATGCTGGCTTATCTTTTCATACCAATTGTCTGATCATTATTTACACATTGAATTCTGTTATTTCCAGATTTAGTCAAGGAGCACAAGATGTGTGTGGTCGGTCGGTTAAAGATGCACACTCCTTATGGCACCTGATTCCACCTCTGATGTTTTAGAAGTTCATGTTTGCATTGCTTCTGATTTGTGTTCTTTAAATGGAAGTTTGAGCTTGAATACTATTCCTTATCTCCATAAGTTTCATGTGACGGTTTCTGACAAATCAAAACATTAGGGTTAATATTGAAACGCATGAAAGATTATTTGTTTCCTTGCTAAATATCACAGGATTAGTTATTTCTGGAAGGTTTGTCTATTTGATGATAAAGTGTCAATCATCAAATTTCATATGAAGTGACAAAAATTTCCCCCCAAATTGTTATTGTAATCAGAAAAGGAAGGTCATTAAGAATCTTACTTAAAATTTAGGTACAAAAATTGAAAATATCAGAAAAAATTACTTCACTGGTAATTTACGGGATGTGTGCTGTGTGTGCTCTGCTTCGAAATTATATTGTTTTTATGGATTTTGAGGGTTCATATATTGTTCGTTATCTCCAGATTTTATCTTACAGAGCAAACAAGTCATTTAGTTGAAACACATAAATTTGTGAGTGGGCAACGTCTCATTTGAATATTAGAAATAAATACAATGTCAAGAAAGATTGTAAAAAAGTAATTGCTGCCTCAAATGGTCTTCGGGAATAGGGAAAAGGGAATACTGATTACTATTAGTTTGTCATAAAATCAAGGTACCCAGAACAAATTAGTTCGAAATGTTTTGCAGAGCATAAGAGACAAGGAGGATTCAAAGTCAAGTCATCCTGTGAAATGAAATCATTTTGCCAGAACCTTTCTTACTTAATTAAAGATGACTCTGTTGCAGGACAGTACAAGTAAGATTTAGACACAGCACTGTAAATGTGCAAAGCAGATGGCGTTAGATTAATTTAAGAATTACCAACTCAATTGATTTTTATCTTTAATATTGAACTTTTCTCTATTAAAAAGCTCTTTTAACAAACTTCTGTTGAAGAAAACTTGTAGGATGAAAATATAGAGATAACGAACAGAGATCGACCTCTCGGAATCTATAATTATCCTAATCTAAGAACAGGGTTTAAAACAAGGATCCTCCAAAGTTTTAGGGATATGATCAGAAGTATACGACGAGTAAGCATCACATGTTGACTAGTCACAACCTCCATGAGTCAAACTTGTTCAAACTCAAGAGTAGTTAACATGACTTTAATAATAATCAAAATATTTTCCATTAAAGAGCCAATAGAAAGAGGAAACTGTAAACAAAATTTACATTACAAATATGGATTAGATAATTCTACAAAATATATAGTATATAACACTCTCAGATCACTTTCTAATTGTAAACTTCGAATTTTCTCTATCCCCCGTTGTGTTTTGGTGGTCTCTGCGGGATATACATTTGGGTCTTTGTGTAGGTCGGCTCTGGACAGTAATTAGTCTCCAATCTTGTCTGTAGCTGTAGTCCGGCACACCGATATGAGAGACTCTCCATTTTCACGTGTTGGGTCTCCAACAGTTGCATCTCTTTAGAAGCCACAAAGAAATTCGTTTCTGTTGTATTTGCATTCTTACATTTGTGAAGCCTTAGTTGCCGCAGTCTTCGATCAGGCCGATGGATTGTTTCGGTCATGCAATCCATGTAACCTAGCTGCCGAAAAATGGGTTTTAGGCTATCGATGCCTTGTTGAACCAGATTGTTGTGCTCCTTGATTAGTTCGTTGATTTTGGTCAATGGCAAATTAAAGTCGCCTCCGATCAAAACTTCGTTTCCGGTGAACCAGGCGAGCAGTTGAGCAAACATTATGTAGGATCGCCCATTTTCGTATAAAACTTGTGATCCTCCAGTGGCGGTCAGTTCCCAGTGCCAGGAGACGCAGATAAACCGCTTCACGATGTTCTGTGCCGGAGCAGGTGAGTAAATATCCACAATAGGAGTCAGAACTTTGTCAAAATCACAGTTGGGGATTGAGAATTGTTGCTCAGTCGGTCGCTGATGGACCTTCAGTCGTGTGGAATCGTACAAGAGAACTGTCTCGTTGTTGGTGGGGTCCAGTAGTTGTTGATAACTGGTATGTGTAAATGTGTCAGGCCCGGGGTTGTCTCCCGGCAAGAACATTATATCAGGACTCTCATTCTCCACCAGCTGCCGTAAGTTGGACTGTCGGAAGTCGTAATACTGCTTTCCCTTCCGCCCCGTAGCGTTCATACTGACTATTCTTAAGCAGTCTGTGTCGAAACCCATCGCTTATATTATTCCTGTAATTATTTCAAAATCAAAAATAGTTATTAGATGTAATGCTTACAAAAAATGTTACACCTGTTAAAACTTACATGTATAAGTGCTTTTTTGCACATAAATAAAATAAGTGAAGTGGCAGCTTACCTCTTGGACTAAATGATATCTGGTTAATATTTATGACAGTGTTACGCAGTGTTTATATAATATATGTATATTACGTTGGATGTAAAAATAGTCTTTCTATTTATAAACCTTGGAATGTCCCTTTCTATAAATAAAGCGGTTTTCATTGGTTGCTTAAAAATCAGATTGTATTCCTCCGTGTAAGGAAATGATCCCTTAACAATCAAATTAATAACATATGAAATAGGTTCAAAATGTATATATTTGACTGGATATATTTTGCTTATATGTAGTTTTGTTGCATAGTACTTATTAACATCTTCACATCACTCTCTTTGTTTTTAATGTTGTAAACATTATATTTTCATCGAATAAATCAACGCACTTCCAAACTTTTATTTTCAGAAATCCTTCCATTTTCAAGGAAACTAAATCGAAACTATACTGAAGATTAAATTGTGTTAACATTTTATAGGAAACATTTAAACAATTTACTATTCCGTGAGTACAGTGTATATAAACCTCAGAATATCTAATTTACCTCAGTAGAATCCTTCTGTACTCGTCTTTTTGTATTATTATCAAATAAAACATATTTCTGGAACGGTAGTATGGTCAAAGGGCATTTTTTTAATATACGTTTAAGGCTTTTTTTGTTAAATGAAACCCCAAAAAACCATCAGATCATCTTCACGGATATGTTTCATAATTTCAGAGAAAAAAAACGGTTAGTCTAATGTTTACATTATACTTTTGTAAAATGCTAAATATTTTCGACAAAACGCATGTTTCTGCTGATACAACAATTTATTATGTAGAGTATCGCATTATCTAAAATCAATATCTTTTTATTTCTCGGAAAACAAAATGAAACAGATATTTATAAGTTTTATTACTTTATACGAATAAATATCACCGCGCAACCTCTCAAACTTTCGCAAAATAATAAGCATTTCCAGAAAAGCCTGTAAGGCTTTGTTTACCATGTTAATGCATAATCTATTATTCATTTTTTTTTTCTTCTTAAACAAAATTAAACCTGCAAAGGTGTGTTTTGTGGTATTTTGTGTGCACATTGAGTGAATAGAAAAAGTCATAAATTATTTACAAATAAGTCTTTATACTTTTCCTACAAATCATTTTTCTTAAACTTGATCACAAAGCATAAAAAAGGAGAACTCCTTCATTCTGAATGTATGACTGAATACTAATGAATATAATTAATTGATTAATTTACAAACGAAATCACAATTTTTAAGAACTGTTGCTGTTCTCCAGTAAATATGACATTTAAAATAGGAGCAATCGGCGGGTGTGTCCATTCGGCAGAGGATGCTTAATCCCCCATGGCACCTGATCCCACCTTTGATGTTTTAGAGGTCCATGTTTGCTCTGCTCCTATTTTGTGTGGTTTTATGGACTTTTGAGCTTAAATATTTTTCATTATCCCCATTTTCATATACTTTTCTTAAGGTGAGTTAGCCAGGAAAAACATTCCTTTAAGAATTGCATTCCTTGTGCATGTAGTTTAAAGTTCATCTTTAAAATGCCGCAATTTCTTACTGAGATCAGGCTCCAATGAGAAAGGAATAAAGTCAAAATTTCAAATCAAAATAACTCCTGAAATAATTTGAGAATGTAACAAAATTACAACGTTATACCTAATTGCAAATTTGTGTGCAAATACATTGAACAAAACTAAAAAAAAATATTTAAGATCAAAATATTGGCTTTCTGAGTCTGTTCTCAGTACATGTATAAGGTCTTTAGGGTCTGACCCTAAATCAATCGTTTGCGGTTTCCTTGGGAATCATTTGATAAATTGAGTATGGCCTGTTCCTTGTTTGCTTGGCTATTTTCTTCGTGTATGAATACCAAGGAAAGTCTTTCATTCAAAACAATGTAAGTAATAAATAAATTGCCAATTCACATTACTTTTTTCTTCTTAATTCATATTTCAATTTCTATTTCCACCTCAGTAAAGAGACTTTATGACTAAAAGCTGTAAGTAAACAATGAATTTTACTACAATCACAAAAATCAGGATAACTTATTTGATGTTCTACTTTTTTTTATTTCAAGAATCAATGTACATGTATAAATTAGATTGCCACAATGCTAAACCTCTACAAGCTAAACACAAAACATTTATTACTGAAACGTTATAAAATCAAATAGAATTTTTTTTTTTTAGGTCTTACAATATGTATTCACAATTGCTTCTACAATATAAATTTCTAGCCATAAATTCTAATCATTAATTTCATAGATTTTGACAGATCAACCTTGTTTTATTAACCCCCATGGTGTTTTGGAGGCCTTTGTGGTATATACATTTGAGTTTTGGTGTAGGTCGGTTCTGGACAGGAATCAGTCTTCTGTCTTGCCTGTAATTGTAGACTGGTGTATCGGTATGAGAGACTCTCCATCTTTTCATGTCTGGTCTCCAGTAGCTGCATTTCTTTAGAGGCAACAAAGTAATTCGTTTCTGTTGAATTAAAACTGTTGCTCTTGTGTAATTTTAATTGCCGAAGTCGTCGTTCAGGTCGAAGGATTTCCTCGGTCATGCAATACATGTAACCAAACTTCTTAAACTGTGGTTTTACGCTGTCGATGCCTTGCTGGATCAAACTGTTATGTTCTTCGATCAGTTCTTTGATTTTTGAGGGCGGTAAATTAAAGTCGCCACCTATCAAAACCTCCTTTCCGGTAAAATAGGCAAGATTTTGCGCAAACATCAAATACATTCTTCCATTTTCATACAGAACTTGCGATCCTCCATTCTCAGACAATCTCCGGTGCCAGTTAACGCATATGAACTGCTTCACGACGTTTTGAGCTGGGGCCGGCGAGTTAATATCTATCAGAGGTGCTAGAACTCTGTCAAAGTCACAAACAGGATGGGAGGACTGCGATCTCGCCGGAAGTTGATTGACTTTCAGTCGCGTGGAATCATACAGGAAAACTGGTTCATTGAAGGCGGGGTCTAACAGGTGATTATATCTGGTCTGTGTTAAGGTGTCAAGTCCTGAGTTGTCTGAGTTGTCTCCCGGAAGGAATACTATTTCAGGCTTTTCTTTCTCAATCAGATGCTGGAGGACGAACTTCCTTCCGTTCCTACCAGCAGCGTTCATACTGACTATTCGTAAACGGTCGATCTTGGAACTCATGGCTCACAATATTCCTGCAATTAAATAAGTAACCAAAGCTCTAATGGTTTTTTTCTTATGTATCAATTATTTGCACGGGGAAATGTAATATGGTAACACAAAACATACAGCTAAAATTATGTTAAGATAAAAAAAAATATTGAGAAATTGTGCTATTTTAATCAAAGTATATTGTCAGTATAGTAGAAACTCACCTCTTCTTACGTAGAAAATAATCTAGTTATATCCACTTCTGTTCAAGTTTGCAGTTATATATTCATATATATATTAAGTTACGTAAGTGATTGCAAATAAATTTCTAATTTTAAAACTGGAAAAAGATTACATGTACCTATAAATATATTCAATTCCATTGGTTTCCAACCAAGTTTGAACCGATATGCAACCCCAATCAAGCAATTATTATATCATATCTTTGCACTCAATAGATATTTAATAAATATATTTAGCTTAGATTTATTGTTTCGCACATTTTATTTTTTTTATTACACATTTGATCATCTGAAACTAAGATAACAGTTTAAGTTATCTCTTGTTTATTAAAGCTAGATATTTAATGTTTTAATCTCCGTTTACTTTTCCTCTAGTTTCAGCGAAAATAAACCGAAACCGATTCTTTTCGGAAACTCTTTGAAAGTTAATTTATAAGCTAATGTTGGAAAGTCCCATTCTGTGTCAATACAGGTATATTAATTCTCTCTCTCTCTCTCTCTCTCTCTCTCTCTCTCTCTCTCTCTCTCTCTCTCTCTCTCTCTCATCAATATTCGGATATTAAATCATAAAGACTTGATTTTTGGACTTTTAATTTCCTTTTGATCGAAAAAAAATCTTTCTTAAGTTCGATTCTTTTGTAAAATATATGCACTTTTCTTTCCATAAATCATAAGAGAAAAAAAATTAAGAACCCTCTCTTCACTGCACACCAAAGAGATCTGATTCTAAGGTATTTTACTGGAGTTAGAGTGATCTGCCCTTAGATCTAAATTCTAAAAAATAGAAATTTACACTATATTACTCAATTTGTAATTAATTCAAGTATTCTCAACATTTCAAAAGACCAAAATAAATGAACTGAAGGTGTTATTTACATGTATTTTCTCTAATGAAGTAATTAACAGTGATTTCTATTCACTGATACTGTGTTGTCTTTGAACTTTTTTCCCAGGTATTGAAAATTAAATAAATAAGCTCAATATTAACTCCTTTATACACTACATTTTTCTCAATGTCCAAAAAAATTGCACTTGTGTAGAGAGGATCCTTAAACTGCTCTAAAAACATAAGCTTTGAGATATGTACAAATGTATAATACACTGAATAAAGTTTATATATGAAAAAAAATCCAATAATAAAAGCTAAATGTTTCCTACATATTAAATCTTGCATAATAATTAATTAATAAGGATATGGAGATAACGAACAGTATTCAATATCAATGTTCATGAAAACAATACAAAACAGGAGCAGAGCAAACACGGACCTTTCAAACATTAGAGATGGGATTAGGTACCATGGAGGAGTGAGCATCCCTGCTGACCGGTCACACCGTGTTCCTTGTCATGATCGGTATGGAAAAAATCCGTCGTGAATTCGGTGTATAAATAATGGGCTAACAATAAGTATGAAAAACGTCAGTCAGTATTTGACTCAATGATAAATTGTATTTGCTGACAAGGTCTTTGTATCGACCATAGAACTGTAAATGACTGTAAATGAGACTGGTGACATTCTTGTTTCATCAACTTGTTTGTCAATTCTTTTAGAAATTGTTCTTACAAAGAGCATGCTCTTGCGCATAGAATCAACTGAGATATATAAACGCAGTATGCAGGTGATTAAGGTATATTGCTGCATAAGTAAGGGAAGTTTACGATAGAAAAGTTAAAGTCATCACAGAGCTTGGTTTTTAGGTTACCATTAATGTC